TAAGCGGTCATGGCAGGGAAGGATGGAAAAAAAGACTTCCAGTCTTTCCAGGGTAGTTTTATTCTTTATTCTGAGAATAAAGGAAGTGACCATAGAGGAAGAAGAAGATTTACTCTTTTGGAGTCAAGATACTTCTAGTGCTCAGCTGATCTTGTGATAAATATACTGAGGTTTCATTTTGGCACTGCCTGATTTGAAGGGAAGCCTTTGACTGTTGTTTAGACCTCACAAGACAAACTGCGTGCAGACAATCCTTTTGTCACTACTCTTGCTGTCACACTAAATAACACTTGCTTTAGGAGTACCTTAAATTTTCTGCTGCCATAAGATAGTGATGAGTTGTATTTCCAGAAAAACGGCTTTAAACACATCCTCACATGTTTCTGGCAACTTGTCCATAAACAAAATTAGTTCAGCCCATGGCTAATTTAAGGGTATATCAATATATTTTTTGATTCAAAAAGATTTAATCAGTGTAATTACTTATCCTTCATGTTGAAATCTAAACAGTAACCTGACCTCATTGGCTACTAAAAACTAGTAATAAAAAAACTCCAAAGCACATTATTAGAACTTGAGGTGCACAGTTCATTCTGAGATGAGGTCCAGAAAATGTGCTTTCTAGATCTGAAATTCACATACAGAGAGATGACTACACAGTACCAAGTGAAAGACATGAAATGGATTACACAACTACTCCTAGACAACTTTGAGACTGCTTTGGAGGCCTTTGCCTTTTGAAGAGCTTTTCAACAGACTGAAAACTGTGACAGGATTTCATATTACTGCTAGCATATAACCTAGCATGACTGTGCTAATTCTATGGAAGAGTGCTTTCCTCAGGATGTGGAAGGAAGGAACTTTAGATTGGACATCAGGATGAATTTATTCACACAGAGGATGGTCAAGCACTGGAATGAACTGCCCAAGGAGATGGTGGACTTCCCATCCCTGCAGGTATTTAAGAGATGTGGATGAGGTGCTTAGGGACCTGTTTTACTGGTGGACCTGAAGTATTACATGTATGATTGGACTTGATGATCTTAAGGTCCCTTCCAAACTAAATGATTCTATGGTTCCGTGATTCTATGATTAACGGTTTTGCTGCTGCTGATGACTTGTATCTTCTGGCCTTCATCAAGCTAGAAACAAGCTTGAAATAGTCCAAGGAATCTATGATGAAGTGCTCATTTCACCTGCAGACAGCAGGGATGTATTTCAAAGGCTTTGATACATAGGCCTAGACACTTTTTTTACTAATGAATGTGTTCTCTTTGACATCCGTGAAAGTGCAGACATGTGCCCTTAAAGAACTAGTATTTAAAGTGAAATTCTTGAAGAAGTGGAGATTTCTTCCTTACGCCAACCCCTTAAGTCAGACACCTCCTTTAGATCTTAGTGTTACACAAACAGAGCTTCATCAGTATTTGTGTATTTTAAAAGCAGACTACAAAATTATGCAATTATAGAAAGCTAATTCATGCTAGAAGAATGATCAGCACATTGCATTATGGGTGGTTTTTAAAGCCTGTAATCTGGATTCAGCCATGGTGCTTTCTGATAGTTCCATGCTAAACGTCTTGTCTTTGCTCAATGGACTAAAATAACCAATGTCAGCAAAGAAACGAAAGAAAGCTAAGCATAGGAATCAAAGCCTGGAAAGAAAGATGTAAAAGTCCTCAAACTGAATTTTATATTAGGACATTGGCATTGTTTCAGTGCTATGTTCAGCTATGAGAAAGGACCAAGCTACACCTAAGTAAGTTCACTCCCTTATTTCACTTCTTGAAAGAAAGACTTTGATGGCAGCAAGGATAAAAAAAATGGTGTTTATAGGATGTTCATCAAAAGAATTACTCAACAAATACTTGAAGAAGAACCAGGGAATACATATATTCATCACAAACTTGGACTTAGTGTTTGCTTGTCGTGCAAGTGGTATGTTAGAATGGCAGTTGTTTTGCTCCAGTAATGCTGAAGCTCATTTCTAAGCTCTTCCTCATATTCTTTCACATCTGCAGAAGAAAAAATGCCATTCTGAGTCGACAAAATAGCTTATATAGATTTTGTGTGTGTTTTTGTTTTTAGGGCTCTGAATATTAAGTGATAAAACTTTTATTGAGATGTCAAATTAAGAATTGCCAAGGCAGAATGATGAGGAAGTAGAGGAGAGTAATCAGCATTTGCATCTTGTGGCATTTGGGTTCAGTTACAGTGCTGAAACCTGGAAACAGTAATGCTCTAAAGCAATAATTCAGTGTTACACATTAGAGTTATTTTGGAATCTGTAGCTTGTTCATCCTGTAATTACCTCAAGTAAGTTCCTCATTCCTAAAATTAGGTTGCATGTAGTGACAAGATATGTAGCTGTCTGATAATAAGCAATGGCTGACAATAGTAAATTAATGATTACAAAAGAGGAAAATGTCCAGCTTTCCAATCCAAAATATTCAGAATCAATAACCTTACTAAAATGTCAGCATAGTATATACAACAAACAGCCCTGATGTTTCTTTTGCACTGTAATCTGGTAGCTATTTTGTACGCAAATTCCAGACAGAGTATACAGTCCTAACCTGTAGACATAGTCACCAGACCTCACTGGCATTTAAGAATGGCATTTAAGAATGAGCAAAAACATGGTACCTCTCTGGAATTAAAATAATGTATATTTAGAGTACCAGTGCATATCTTTCAACTGTCTTTTGCTTAGCTTTTAGTTCCAAACTTTCCCATAGAAATCACTTTCTTGATAACTATGTTCTTCCTTGAAGCAGAAACATTAGAAATATCTCTGCCTTGGTAAATGTGATGAAAGAACAAGAATATGTCCCTAGCAATACTGATGACATGAATTGCCTTACCTCCCCCATTATTTTCATTGAATGCCATATTTATGGAATCAACCATTTCCATTTTTGTAAGCAAATTAGGAGATTAAAATCAGGTAACATAAAAATATAACATCACCAAAGAAAGCCTTCATTCTAACCTCATATCCTGTCTTCAGCAGTGATCTACACTGGCTTAGTAGGGAAGAATATAAAGTCATGTTACACTTACATGATATACGTTTCAGTTATCCGTGCCAACAGTCATACAGTATATGGCAATTATATCTATATTATATCTATTCATGTTTTTAAAGTTATTCATCCCTTGCCCTGTGAGCTCCTCTGCTGAAGCTGAGATTTTTATAGTCGATTATGAAAGAGTGACAAACAATATTATAAAGCTGAAAAGGAGTTTAAAGGTCTTTGAGGAATTCTTAGTCCCCTAGCACCCTGTCCCTACTTGGCATTAGTCTCTCGGAGTATCAGTAATCCTTCACCCATCCCTTCTCACCACTGTACTGAACAAGATAAGAGTGAACTAAATTTGCTTTGTTTATTGGCAGTTTTGGCTTTCGGCTTGCTGGCACGGCTGACTGCAGACACACCTAGCATACTTGCGAAAGCATGTGGCTTCTTTTCTGCACTGAATACCTCAAGCAGGCTGATTAAAGAGGAAATACCATGGCGATACCCAATGAGCAACGCTCTGCGTTCAACAAATGGGCAAGAGAAGGAAGAGGAATTCAGCTCACACATTCCTGAAAGCAAAAAAGCAGAAGATTGAGCAGGGTGCGAAGTTGGAATTTTTTTAATAGAGATGTCTGTGGTACCTTCCTTGGGTTTCTGCCACTAGATATGTCCTGTGAACAGGACCACCTTACTTCTTTCTGTGCACGCTCTTCTGTCTGTTGGCTGGGAGACGAGAAGGTGGCTAATGTCAGGTTTTCCTTTAATTGTTTTTTGATGTACTCACAGCTCCACTGCCCTTCTCTGGCCTCAATGTCTTTCTTTTAGTGAGAGGCTAATAACTGAACACAGCAGATGAGGTGTGGCCTCACTGGAGCCAAGTACAGGGGGAAAGCAATGTTTGTGGCTTCAGAGAACCCACAAGTGAACAAAGAAAACTGGCTTGTTTCTATACATAGAGCCATGAACAGCCAAGGTAGATAACATTTGTAAAGGTTTGGGCTGATATTCTGTGATCTTTGACTTTCCCTACACATCGTGTGTCTGCAGAAGTTGTAGTTATGTAGTCGCGTTCTGTAAATATGATGTATCATCTAATCACAACTCATGCAGTTCTGTTGTGTAAATACAGGTGACTGCAACACAGAGGTTCCCTTGTCTGTGCCTTACTCTCCCATCCAAGGTGGGGATTGTACTCCTTTCTTCCCACAGAAGTGCCATGAGATATGAGTGTTTGGAGCCACTTATGTACCATGGAATTGAAAGCAAATGAAACATAAAATGATGTGAGACAGAAGGTAATCGAACTTTTACAATTACTGTGAATTATTTTAAACAGATTCAGTATGGCGGAATTAATGTTTTTTAACGAAAGACAGAGGCACGAGAACACGACGTTCACATTTTAGTGTAAATAAAGACCAAGGCAGAAGCACATCTTTTCACTCCAGAGCCTCATAACTGTTTTTTCGGCAGAAACCCGGCACCTTCCCACCTGCCTGAGGGCGGCGCGGGGCGCTGAGGGGCAGCGCCGGACGGAACGGCGCCCCCTGGCGGCGCGGAGCGCTGTGAGGGAGCAGGCGCTCCTCGTAGGAGAGAGCTTCGCCTTTCCTTTTAAGTTGGCTTGTCCGCCTGAGCCACGAATTCGGGCCGGCAGCGGGCTAAGGCGAGCGGAGGAGCCGGCTGGGCACGGAGCGGTCTCCCGTGCGGAGCCGTTGTGGCGCTTGCGGCGCGGAGATCCTCTCCCTGGCGGACCGGGAGGGTGGACGGCCAGCGGCCGCGGGACCGGACGGGACGGGCCCGTCGGCGCACGGCAGAGAACGGCGGGTGGGCGGCAAGCAGCCGGACTCCGCTCCCTTCAGGCGGCTCCCGCTCGCGGTGACGTCAGCGCCCCGCTCCTCAGTCGGCGGTGCGAGGTGGTGCGGAGCGGAGCGCCCGGGACTCCGCGCGCGGTCAGCGGCCGTCGCGCCGCAGAAGGGCCGCCCGGCGCCGCCTCCTCCTTTCCGTCCCTCCCTTCTTCGGCGCCGGCCGCCCTCCGCGCTGCCTCATGTTCGGGCTGGAGAAGCCGGCGGGGCAGCAGAAAGTGGGCAGGAGCGGTGGGTTTCCGAACATGGCGTCCGTGGGGGATTTTAACGTGCTCAGCTCTAGCATCCCGGCCACCAAGGTGGAGCTCTCCGTGTCCTGCAGGTGAGGCGGCGGCGCGGAGCTTGCGGCGGTTTCCCTCCCGCGGAGGCGCGCTGTGGGTCCGCGCCTCGGGCAGCCCCGGAGCCGCGCTGCTCGGCCGGGCATGGAGCGGCGGCTGTAGGCAGCGCCCGGCGGTGGAGCCGAGCCGGGGAGCGCTGCGTTCTCAGCTGGCGTTTAACTTCTGGAGCTGTCCCAAGTGCCGCAGAGGGGAAGGAAAAAAACTCCCATCCGGAGTAATCCTTTAGTATATTTGTAAGGCTCTCTTGCAAAACTCTTAGGAAACCTGGCGCGGAGCCTCGCCACGTTTTGCCCTACCGCTGCTGCTAAAAATGCCCACCCCGTAACACGGGACGCAGTGTGTGCAGTTCTGCTCCTCCACGTTTATTTGGCCCCGGTTTGTTTACCGGGATTTCAGAAATAGCGCTTTCTCTCTCTATGAAACACAGAGACGTTTCCATTAGCGGTCTGGAATTATTATTTTTGTGATCTTTTTATGTTTGTTTTCTCTTGCGTTTTGCCATCTCTCTAAATATGCCCCAGCAGTTGAAGAGCGGTGGTTCCTCTCGCCAGCAGAACTGGCAGCTTCTGGCAGATAACTTGGAACTGTCGTTATTTCCTGATGGGAAATGAGACAAAGTTTGTGCTGCTCTGCTTCATTTTCTGCTGTGGTTGCCTGGAATTACCTCTGTTAGCACTGCTGCTGTGAGGACAGACGTTCAGGGCTCGGAACTTCAGTCAGACCACTCACTCTCTTCCCTTTGTGTATTTACTAAGGGATTTTTGTTTGTTTGTTCGTTTGTTTTTGGTAAACATACTAAATATATTCCCTTAATAAGCATGTTTTAGCATTTTATCATTAAAAAAAAAAAAGAAAAGAGAATGTGACAAATATAGTAAGGTTGAATTTGGAATAATGGAGCTGTCAGTGGCTGAGGTGTGAAGGTGCTGAGTTCAGCCCATCTCCACAAAGTTTACCTGCAGCAAGCACAGAACCCATGTTTGCACAGAAGGGATGCTGTTAGGTGTTAAAGCAAACAGGACCCCTAGCATTACTTTAGGTTCTTCAGATAACCTATCAAAATTACAGATGTCAGAATTCTTAATGTTGCTTTTGACCCAGTTCATGTATAAAGGCATGTTGGTTTTTTTTTCTTATTCCAAGGGCTAGTTGTAGCAGCCTGCAGTGTCTTCTTCAAGCCTAAGTTTCATAGTTATTTGAAAATGCATCCAGTGCTTAATAACTGCAGGTGTATGACATAGATGATCATAGCTGACATTAATTATAACTAACCTTAGGACATTGTTTACATGTTAATTTCTTTGTATGTATCTTTGACATACTTTCAAAAGCCACATCTGTTTTGCTTAAACAAGGGAAAGAAAAACTTTTAAAAATGTTTTCTAATCCTGATAACTCTTGACGTCAAGTGTAGGATAGGAATTTCCAGGGTGATTCCTTCTTGATGTGCTGCAGTGACAGCTTTTGATTGCAAAATCATGCTTCAGATCTGAGCGTGAAATGACTGGGGCAGAGATTAACCATTAACACATGGTTGTGATTCATCTGTAAAAATATTCCTGGGCTAAAGCTCTGGAAAAGTAATGTTACACACAATTGTGAAATACAGTGAGAGTCAAGCGTGCAAAGTTCAGCAAATGCTGAAATTCTTTCAGATTAGCAACTGTTTATTTTCAGACATATGCAGAGAAATGCTTTAAAGACTATTTGAGTCATGTTGTTAATTTTTCCTTAGTATCTACAGAGTTGTAGAACCGATTTGGTTGCTGGTTTACATCAGTAGTTACCAGCTGATCATTAGTCTTTTGTATATGTATTTTTTGTTTAAATACTTGTTTTGATTATAATAAATGGGGGAATCTCTTCCAGTTTGTAGAGATGCTGCAGTTTGGTGGGCAGGTGAAGCAGTGCAAGGTGTTAGGTTCCATGTCTGGCTGCGCCACAAAGAAATTTCAGATTCTAGTAAATACTTTTACCTCTGTAGTGTTTTTTGTGTTTTGTTTTTGTTTACTGTATTACTTTTTTCAGCGAGGATACAGATTCTACGTGCATTTTATTATGGTTCATCTGTTGGCATTTCCTAACTCATAGTGCCTGGCATGCCCATGCTGTCCATGTGATCAGACTAGCTGGGTGTCAGTACTATGCAGGTGGGATTGCACTAAGGCCAGTTTGGTGTAGGGGCTGGAGGCAGCCTCTGGGAGACATGCATTTCATACAATGGGTAATACTTTGTGAAAAATGCATCCAACAGATGTCTTGGATGTTAGCTGATACTCTTCTTACTGTTTCTTTATGACTGAAAACCTTTTGTATAATACTCATTGTTTATTGAATGCCAGCCAACTACTGGCTGTAGTTTTACAAGCGCTAGAAAAGCAAGAAATTAATTTTTCTAATTATTACTATTCAGCGTCTATCAAAGAAAAAGTTCAGTCTTTTTCCAGCTCTTCTAAGATACAGGTTTGTAAGGCTCTAAGATTATTTTATCAGGGAACTGTATTCCATGGCTCAAGAGCCAGATTTAATGTAGCAGAACAACTTAAAAGTGACACCTGGGAGGATCCTCCGGTATTGGCAGAAGTCCAGGGTTGTCTAGTTAGTTGGTCTTGCAGTCATCTCCCTTTGTACCCAGTAGCTCCTTCCATCATGTGTTCGTGGTGTGATGAAGACCTGCTGTGCTTTTTGTTTTTTAAATTGCAGACTGGCATTGCTTTGGATGATTGTCATATGGTGGAAGATGAGATCAAGACCTTGACTCTCCAGTCGATGTGTGAAAGAGAATATGGGTTATTCTTTTATATTTTACTCTGCTATTGTTTTCCAGCCAAAAAGATTCTCTTTCTCCAAAGATGCGTTTGCACAGCGCACTGATTATAGGCGTGTGCCTAGACTTGAATCTACACTTAGCGGCTGCAGGTAGAAACTTGTGATCTCTTTTGGTCTTGAGGTAAGCTTCAGGCTGCGTTAAGGGGAAGTAAGTAGCAGGAATGTTTGAGATTGCTCATCTGGTGTCTGGGCGTGCCCTCGTGTCTGCCGGAATGTGACCCTGTCTGTCATATTCTTCATTGACTACGATCAAATAAAACACTGGAGAAGTGTCGCGGTCTGTTCTCATCTTCCCTGCTCTCAGTGAAGTTACATGCACCGTGGGATCTCAAGCTTTTCAGTTTTTGTCATGATTAATATAATGGTAATCTCTGCTCCTACTTGTTACTGGGTGCACTGATCTGGAGTCTCCTGATTAAACCACAGCCTTTATGAAACCCTATCTTACAAGGAAGTAAGAAATTTCATCATGCCTTGTGTTAGTGTTTATTTACCTACTGAGGAGGTGTCAAACAGAATTATCTTCCTAAGAGTAATTTCTGCGTATCTATAGGAAAGTGAAGTAGTTTGATCACTTTATGACGTGCAGTCATAAGGCCAAGGGTAAAGCAGCAATGTAGCATCACAGCAGGCACTATGAAGTAAACAAACTCTGTCCCAGCTGAAACCAGGACCTGTGTCAATGATGCTACAGTTATCTGAGGGATGGTAAAATTCTCACAAAACATTGACACAGGTCTGCTAAGCTTTATGCAGAATCAGGTGAACTGTCCTCATCATTCTGTGTTTGTGCTGGACGGGTTCTGCACTTTCTGTATTCCCATGCCAGGCATAATGTGCAGGAAGGCAGAGTGTACTCCTTATGATTGGTTCAGAAGTACGATTGACTGTCTGTGCCTGGTTTGGATCAGTTCTATACAGTTTCACAATTTGTACAGAAAGTTAATATTAATGAATGGGATGAACGGAATTAAACAAATCCTATTCTCATTTATGAGAATAATCTAATTTCAGATTTCTGGCACGGAGGAACAAAACGTACTGCCTCGGGATTTTTGCCTTTCCATTTGCTTGACAGTCTGAAATCTTAAGCAGTTCCTTTCTACTGGTTGTGGTATCCAAAGCATGTTTGATTTTATCTTTGATTGTCATAAGGACTGATCTCTACTAAGCTCTCTTCTCTCCAGCCAGTATATTTACTTCCTTGTTTTTTGTTAGAAATCTGTATGGCAGAAAGATGCAATGACAAAAGATATAATAAATTATTTGAGCTTGTAACTCCATATAGTACAGAGCAGAGGATATAAAATTCATCCTGATTCTAAGTCTGCTTTTCATTTTCCTGTAGTTTTGTATGTGTCCAGACTGGTTACAAAATCTGTTTATCCATGTTTATGGATGGCTGGCAACAGAGGTTGATCTTGCAAGTTTTTTCTTTGAAATGAAACCACCTAGACAGCCATCTGGCTTCAAGAAAAACATATAAATGGGTGATGGCCTCCATCAAAACAATCCTAGAGGTGCATTCCTGGTAGAGTGTATAGTTTGTTTTTCCTGTGTGTGCATGTATTATTTGAACTTTAGGCAAAGCACACATTAACTGTAAAATTTAAGGCCGATGTGTGGCCCTGTAGATGCAGTCTTGCCACTGTTGGGACCAGTTACCAAGTTTTGTATCGTGTGAAGTCTCAGGACTTGTCAGGTTTTTGTCTGAACTTGTCTTTGCCTGCTTGGTGTTTTGTTTGGATTTCCTTGGCTACGAAAGCAGTTTTTCTGAAGATCAGGTGGCTACCTCTTAGATAGTTTCTCTTTGGCTTGTGCAATGACACGACATAGCTATTGTTCTTCTATAGATAGCAGTAGCAAGTGGTTGTTTAGTGCAGAATAAGGTATCTGTGACTGTCACAGGATGATATAGTGCAGAGGAGCACCGTGGGAACACAGGATGCAAGGCAGAGTAGCAGAGATGGAGGATGGAAAGCGGAGGTATGGGATACCTGTGGAGACCTTTCCAGTGGTTTGTAAAGAAGAGCAGACTTGGGATGCGGGCAAAGCTATTTTCTGAAATTATAGTGGAACCAAAGGGCAAGAACCAAACAAGTGTAACAAATATGGCAAGTTTGAATGCAAAATGGAGTAAGAGACCAACAAAGAG